ATGCACAGTGATTTTTCATGACACAATATTGTACATACTATTAATCTGATCATACTATTATTTGTACTCTGTTTTTCAGGTCCCAGATAAACATGAAAAACCAGAGAGAGGTTTAGCCTATGCCAGGTAAGTCTGAAGAGAAAGAATTTCATTGTAAATATCTCTGAATGGAACCTCAGACATGAATGAAACTATATAATACAATACTGCTTGTATTAAAAATCATTAATTATTCAAACTTAAGTTTGATTAATGTCCTTATTCTGTCTTACATTAATTTATATTGTCTTATTCCAGTTTTGTGTTAGCTCTTACAATGCCAGGACCACCAAAAGACAGTTATCTCATAAAAATACAAGGAAAGGACAAAGATCATCATTCCAAATTTAATGTCACAAGAGTTGATGATACAAGTCACTTTTATGTATCAAAATGGGATTTATATGAACCTGATGTGTAAGTCTCATTTATTATATTATTAACTTCATGATCAAACTGTAAATTCAATATATATTAACTTCCAGGGATTTGTATGGGGAATTCAAACTACTTGCAGGATAAACAAGTTTTTTAGGGTATATTCCTGCAAATATCATGAAGACTCTGGTTGATCTATGCATTAACAAGAGTCTAACCCCAATAACAAGATTTATTCTTTAAATTAACAGCCAATAGTTTTGAATTTTGACTTATACTATGATTAAAAAAAATGGCAGAAATTGCTTTCATTGCAATTTTGTGTACGAAGTAAACATTCCACAACAAAGATAACAACAAATATCTTGTCTCTAACTGTTTTCCCTAATCATCCTTATCATTTTCACATCGTAAATGTATTTTTAATAAATTGTGCATGAAAGGCCACTGGGTGAAGTATAGTATATCTATTATTTGCTCATTAAACTCCCTAAGCTGTGGCTAATTCTTTAGCTGTGCTGTTGACAAAGTTGATAGTTACTGATTTTTGACCTCTTTTTCAAAACTGTCAGCATTGTGGGTTTCATACTCACTACAAAGGTACTATTAGTGGTTCTTTCTCAGACTTGTTCATTTTGTAACAATTTATGGTTTATATGCACTTATGTTAGAGATACATGTATGGAAAAAAATGTTTTTTTCTTTTTTCAGTTACAGAGTATGCATCTATATGAATGATTCTTACTGTCAACCAAATGGTAAAATCTCCTTCCTCAATGGAGCAGTGTACACTATTGTCTTCCAGTTGTCAAATGACCCAAATTCTGTGAGTTTATTTGTGAATTTATCTTTAACATTCAAGGAATGAGTTAATATCATAATTTTATTTGATAATAGTGTCAAATGAACCATATTAATGTTTGGGACTTTGTGACATTTCTATGTGGCCATCTCTACAAATAAGAATTAAATGTGCTATCCAAAACGTCAATCAGACAAACACAATCACATGTGAACCAAATTCCCATTGGTATATGTATAAATCTACACCAGTATCCAGAATTGGGATTAGGTAGATTTAAACTTGATACAAATACAATCATATGTAAATAGTTGTAGCAATCACTATTTGCTAGTAGCAGTTGGTTGTACATTCACTTATCCTAAGATGAGAAAAGTATTTAGTGTTTTATTTGAACAATCTAATATTCATTTAGTGAGAAAGTTATATTATGTATTCCTCCCAGACCATCAATTACATTACGTATGTCCAATGGAATGCAGATGATAACAATTGTAACTGTAAACTGTTCCCGTCCTCTAAGTGTCCAATCAATGTTCCTGGCATACATGCATCGTTTTCTGAAGAGTAGAAGAGAATCTCTGTGGGATTAGGCCTTCACAAAAAAAAACAATGTTTTTTGGGTTGTTTTTTTTAAAAATGGGGCAATGAGATGTGTTTTTTTTTTTGCTAAAAAAACACACATTTTGTAGGTTTCAGCAGTTTGTCAACAGAGGGTGCTGTGCATTTGTGAAATAAGTGATAAAAAAGATCAGCCACATTTGTTTCGATCTACCGGGAATATCGCAAATTTATTTTTCGACATTACTTGTATCCCGCTGCTTTATTGTAAAGTTGAAGTGAGACTAATAAATGTATTAATATTAAACTTGCAGGCCACAGGAATGATGGTTCTCCATGAAACTGTTCCTGCAAACACTGTATCTGTGTTTTGGCAAATACCGCAGTATGTTCTTATCACAACTGGTGAAGTAATGTTTTCTATTACAGGACTGGAGTTCTCGTATGCTCAGGTAAAAAACAGCACTCACACTCGTAGTTCACACATGAAAGAAAAGTCAAGTGAGGCTCAATGTCATAAACTGGTCTAACATAAAAACACAAAATTATTTGAAATATAAAAGAAAATTCAAACTTGCATTGTTTTATATAAAATAATTTATTCTAGTAACAACGGTCAAGTTACTAAGGTACTTGATAAATATGGGTAGAGACAATTCCATGATTGGTTGAGAACATGTTAGTATAAATAAGATATACATGTAACCAATCACAGTAGAACAGGTATAAATCATTCACTAGAAACTGTGATTACTGTCTGGTGTCAACCAGGCCCTGTCTAACACAAGCACCTGCAAACCTTAACTAAGGTATCCCCCAAAGTCGCATTTATTAGTGAATGAATCTCGGCCAGTGGAATTGGCCTTCCCATTGAGTCTGTGGCATACTCACCCAGGGTAGGGGTTGACCCTTTAGGTGTTCAGACTAAGGTAAGATTTGAACTTGGGTCCACGGATCATGAGTCTGATGCAACAACCACTATGCTACCAGTGACCAGTTTAACTGTCTGATTATTTGCTTTTTCGCAGGCACCAGCAAGTATGAAGTCCTGCTTACAAGCGTGTTGGTTGTTGACAGTGTGTTTTGGTAATTTAATTGTCGTTCTTGTTGCTGGAGCTCAGTTCTTCTCAAATCAAGTAAGTGGATATTTTAGTAAAACATTATCTTTGGCAGCATGTATCTAAATTTGTTGATACTATTGTAGTGTATTAACTTTGTATGACCAGAATATGACATCATCACATTAGCATATCAATGATGTGCAATTCTATATATGGAGATGTTCATTTGAATAAATTGTGTTCCCGTTCCAATTACCGGCCGGTGTTTGTTTACTCTATGCTAGTCCTCAATGTTCGAACATACACAGCACTATTGCTTCATATCAATAAAAAAATTTAAAAAAAATTCTGTACTTAAATGGATTTTGCAAAAATTAGTTTCAGGCTGTTTTGTGTATTGTTGTGTCATGACCCTCCCAGTGCTGGATAATTCTGTGAAACTTATAATTGTACTTTTTGGAACAGGATGAGAACACGTTAAACACAAGTTTGTGCAGAAAGCAGCCTTCAGTAATGATAGTAATAGTGTTCCTCAATCTTTCACAATTCATTTTATTCCTCTTTCATTTTTTTTTATCTCTAGGCTACACAATTTTTCTTCTTTGCTGGATTGATGCTGGTTGTCTTCTTCATCTTTGTTGTCATGTCATTCTGGTACAAGTACGCCACTCCTAGTCACTATGACGACATTCATGATGATGATGACCGGCTGAAACTAGGCGACCATATTGAAGAGGACACTGCTGATGCTTTATCATTGACGGATACAGAAGGGAAAAAAGAAGACTGATAGATGGGAATTGTGGGTAAATTAGAACATTATGGATGAGTTGTGAACATTAAGGCTGAAAGTTTTCACTGTCTTTGGTAATCATGAGTTGATAAAATCTTTGTCCCCATTATTCATTCAGTCACATATGAAGGAAAACAAATTGTAAATTATCACTTTAGCTCGGATTCATCAGTTTATTTCCTTTGTCAACCATTTTTAATAATTTCTTGAAATGAAATGAAATGAAAAACAAAATACTATCAACAACGTATAAAATTATACTTAAAATTATTTTTAAATAATGGCTACCAACAAATACCCAGCATTTTTGTTTTAAAACAAATTTTAGGTAATTTTGAAAATTGTCAATTATTTTGTTTTGCAATATTGAGTGGTGCATAATTACAAACTAAAATATTGTTATGGTTACATACAAGATAGACAGAATTCATTTGATGAGATAATTAACTATGCATATACTCATTCCCAAAATTTCTGTTACCATGGTAGCTGTAATCACATCTGTACCAAAATCTAATCAATTGCTTCCCGTGTTCATATAATCATTAAAAATCCATCCATGGAAATGGAAAACTATTTGTGAAATTGGTGTTTCCATGGTAATACACATACACATAGTTGTACCAAAATTTAATGGATTTATGAGAATCTATTTATACTTTCTGCTAACAGACAAACAAACAAGCAAACACTACTGTAAACATAAACTTCTTTGGGGAGGTATTCATTTTTTTCAACACATTTGTTATTCAGTTACAAGATTTCCAAAACTGTTGTTTAGTGAACTTTTATATTATTTCTTTTAATATTTTCATATTTTGTTAACATGAATCAGCATTTGTCTTTGTGTACTGCTCGTTGGAGGTCAAAGGTCACAAGCCTTTTCAGCCAATTCACTGTCATTTTAAGCCCAGTAACCTTCCACTAAGGTCCTGTTCAAAATCTGATTATAACTTCTGAAAGTTACGAGTTGGCGAGCCATAAACAGTTTTTTGGTTTATATTTGGGACAGTATACATGTAGAGATACATATCCATGACAATTGAATTGATTGGATCAAAGGTAGACTTGCAGCCATCTTGCTTTTTGGTCATATTACTTTGTCTTAGGAGTGAATAACATTTCCCCCTAATTGAAACAGAAAGTATGTCATTTACTTGTTTAATATAAGTAATGTTACATTAAAGTCACACAACCTATTATACTCGTACTTAAACAATATAACAGTAAGTTTTACAATGTTTCAGTTTCTAAACAAGGAAAATGTCAACATAGAAATTTTCATTTTCAACTTCTAAGTACATACAGATTTTTTTTTAATTTTCAAGTCTCTGTTTTTAATGATATATTTTCCTAAAATGAAATCCTTCTTTGTCCTACAAGTGAAAAACAAATTAACAACTGAAATATATAAACTATCATATGATATGATATTTCTTGATGCATGCGCTGTTTTAGTCCATGTTATGATGTAACTTTAAATTATCATAGTTTGCTTGTTATTTGTAGTAAGTACATTTGGTGTCTGTGTTGCTGAACATTTTAGTTCAAAACAAGTGTCAATGTTTTACTGGATAACCCTAATATGGTTAATATTTTAGGTATACACATACATAGATTGTTCGATGTGGTATATTAAAGGGACTTTTTTAGTTGTCAATTGAATTCTTGAATACTGTAAAATACTGGACTTAATTTTCGCTGAAAATTTTTTTGGGTGTTTTTCATGGATTGTATTTTCACTGATTTTCGATGAGTTGAATGTGAAATATAGTGAAAACTGTATATTTGCTGTATTTCATTTTCACCGAATCGTTCCTCCAGTGAAATTAGCGAAAATTAATTTCAAGTGAAATCAAAGTAAGTACTATTTGAGTATCTCATATTTAACCCTTTGAGCAATATTATTCTTCATGCCCAAATTTTTATTTTACTCTTTGATAATTTTTATGTATTCTCCAACAAATTTTCAGTTAAATTTAATTCAAGACTTGATCAAAACTTTGAAAAAAGTGAGAAAATTTTTTATTTTGTAATAGGTGACAAAAAGATTTTCTTTATTATAAAACTTTTAACACTAAGCTTCCATTCACTAATGACATATCAACACGTCATTTACAAACTGTTCTGATTATTTTAAAGTCAGATGGAGAAGAAATTATTTATTCACATGTATTTTATTATTATTATAAAAGTATATAGCATAAAAACTGATAATTGTATTTTAAACTCATTACATTGTATTGCTATGTGGACAGTTTATCCTGTGACTGTCTATCTGTCCTTGAATTTTAAAATGCATTGTTGTATTAAAGTGTTTAATAATGGATGTATTGTATTGTATTGAATGTTGTCTTGTGATTTGACAGATTAGAAACTACATTTATGATCTAACCTTAGAGTATGTTAATTTACAATGTAATATTTGAAATCCTAATTGTTATCATGTAACCTCAGTACAGAGTACACCCAATGCAAACATCTAAGCTTCAATGATACAGTTAAAGGGTGGTGGTCATCGCATCCATGAGATGGGATTCATATGAACAAAATTGGGACTGTTGCACAGACCAACGATTACAAACTGAAACATTACCAGGCTTTAACTAGGTAATTTGTTTGGTTATTGGAAGGTATCAAAGGAGTCATCAGCGGTAATTAGTGCACATTGCATCCAGATCAAACTTGTACTCGTGATTTTCATTAGAAGAGCGCATTGGATTGTGGGAAAAAGAATCTTTATCAACACAAATGTCCCACATGTGTGGAACGAAGACCACTGCCTTTTTATTTCAGTGTAGAGACTAGTGTACTCATGTTGCATCATGTTGTGATCAACAGTACACTTGACCAAAATAGTGGAAGGGTCGACATGTACCTTGTCCCAGGATACAAGTGAATCTCAAAGTTCCATGGACCAAGGCATGAGGCTAGTGGAAAAGATCACATTATATAAAGGACAATTCACATGTAAATTGAATTAGTACTCTTCAAAGGCAATCACTATGAGGTGAGCTGATCACTGACTGAGTTTGACTGTATTGCAACTATCAACTTCTTGTCAAACAAAATATAATATCATTTTAACATGGAAAGGCATAGTAACAATTGTTTTCCAATTTCTGTAAGATGGTAATGTTTCACCAACCACAATTGAAGTATGGTACTTAGTTTCTAGAGCATGGGAAGATAAAGTATGAATATTAAGATAATATTTATATTTCTAAACAATTATGAATTCTCATGTTTTTCACAAAGTTATGAATTTCATGAAGCAGTTTGGGTTGCAAATTAGTTAAACTTCATGTTGTATGTTAATTAATTTTTAGATTTTTGTATTTTTATTGATGCTGCCCATAAATTGCAATGTGATTCCTGTCTGTATATATTATATATAAATATATATATATTATCCTAGCAGTCCACTGTATTTGTAAACTTATGTAAATGTATTTGTATAAATGTTAATAAAGTGTCAGTGAAATGCAATGGGAATATGTGACTCGTAATTTCTATTATTTGAGTGAGAGTAAGATACTGTACTTGGACATAGTTGTTCCGTTCCATAGATATCCATGTGATTTTATTTCAGCAACCAACAACATAAATAGATCGTCATAAGCATGGCCGGCATTCACTTGCTGTTGAGCAAAAAGATGGTTTCAGTGTTATTCCTCCGAACAATATAGAAACCTTGCATTTCAGTGCTATCCATCTAGCCACTGGATACCAGAATTCTAGAGATATTGCAGACATAATATGGATAAAAACATGGTAAATATACAATCAATGTCTTACTTAAATGTTTTTGATGAGTCAGAAGAAACGAGCGAATACCCTATTTTAAACACAATACAGTACAAGATAGGAACGTACAATTGTTTATTGCCAAGCACAAGCAAAATACAATTTCAATTAATGCATACAATGATAACAATAAAATATATTCAAGTTCTGTTTTTCATGACAAAATAAACAAAACTAGCTAACTGGTTTAAATTGGTATCATTTCTTGAACTTGTTAGCGAAACAAATTTGTTGTAAGTGGGGTTAGTGCAAAACCGCACAGAGAACGATTAATACGACGATAACGGGGGCAAATACCTACAAAATGATATTCCATCTCCTTGTATGACCCAAGGTCAAAAGGTAGTTCATTGCATTGTACATAGAACTCAACGACATTACGTAGCCCTAACAAGACCTCTAATAGTTCAGTCAATATATGAAAATAATGGCCAACTTGGTATTTCTGCTGTTTTGTAAAAATGAAACAAATTAAAAAAAATTAGAAAGAAATCAAAGGATATTAAATACTTTTTAAATATTAATTTTAATGGATAATTAGCAAAATCAACCAAACGATAGAAAGGGTATGGTATATGGTAACATATGGTTAACGTGGACCTCCATCCCACATACCAGTAACCTTAGTATTTTATGTTTCCTATGATCTTCTCGGTTGAAAAAAAATGTCACCATTGAAAAAGTTGGAATGGCCCCATACCTTAGTTGTATATTTAGACAAAAAAGTTGTGTAATTGTCTGGAATGATGAATAATCCTGTGTACAAATTTCAATCTAGTCAATAAACATCACATGATATTCCAAATGAAAAGTATTGTAGTGTAAAATTTACAATAAAATCATAGATCATTTGGTGAATGTTTTTTTTTACTATCGATGGCATATAACTGTACTGAAGTGAAGTAGGAAATACAGTAAGTTTCGTCAATCCTGTCATTGTGAAAGAAAAAGACAATGTCTACAGCATATCGCCCAGTGGCTCATCATGCTGTGCTATGAAGAAGGAAGTTGGAAAGGTGACATACATAGAGTGTGTCTAATCAAGAAAGAGCTGGTTTTGAACATGTAAAACAAGTAAATCTGATGCCGCCATTTAATATTCAGAAATCTGCTATATTTAGAATAAAGAAGATAGTTAATTGAATAGCAATTATTTTCAGATTTTCAGTTATTTAAATACTTGCACGAGCAATGGAACACTCACAAACCTCGGTATTTTTTTTTTAACAAAGACCAATACATAAATAAACTACGAGGCTACACCATACACAGGCAGCAACTACAATGATGATCTTTTCAAGACAATGGTTAAGATTCTTAAACTTGGAAAACAACAATTTGACTTGAAAAAAGGCACAGCAACTTGAAGGGCATGCAGTGGCTGCCACAATCTAATCTGACATTGATCAGTCTTGATCTAGGATAATTGAAACCCCATTTGCTTTCACTGTTGATGGTGGGAGATTTCTAAAAAAATATTTTAATATTCAAAACTGTCTCCCAAACATAACATGTCCCATTCAATATACTGCAATATACTTAGCATATGCAAATGCATTCAATGATGGATGGTGGCGTAATTATTTTGTTCAATGACAAATTACCACAGATTATTGATTCTAGCTTTCCAGGTTTTGTATCACTCATAAATTTATGAGGTTATGGTATGCACTTCCTCACTCTGTCATTGGGATTTTATTTTGCTCCACTCCTAATTCACATTTAGGTAGCAGTATGGCTGGCTTTTTATCAGACTGGTTGATTTTCTTGCTGTAGTTTTATCTATCTTTTCTTCAGGTTATGCACTGCTGGACGACGTCTTTGACTGACTAGAAGTTGTAGATATTGAAGAATGTAGTTATTTATTGACAGATTTTTGCAATGATTCGTTATGTTAAGGTCTACTGATGAACACTTGATGTTATGGCCAAAATTATGTTTGTTATTTGGATTCTAAAAAAGTAGTTAGTGCATACTTCATTATATAACAATGCACATATATGTTTAGCCTGATGAGCAAACAGCGCCTCTAGTGGCAGGTTTGGGTAAGCCAAGGTCAGGGGTCACTGACGCCAGAAAAATGGCTGACAGAGAAAGTTGTGAAAAAGTTGTCTGACTTGTTGAAAGCCACAGAATTTTGTTGGTTGCTGGGCCAATCTATAAATACAATGAGAATATCTATAGGTGCTGAGACTGTCCATGCGGCTCGATACAAGTGATAATAGATTATGATGCAATAACATGTGCAGTAAACACTACATCATATAGTTGTTATGATTAATTAAACTTGACGCTATTTACAGCACATTTTTTCATTCTTGTTGACATGTTGCACTTGAATGCTTTCTTAATTCAGTATTTTATGTGTTTATGTCAAATTTGCTTTGCATGAATATTTACTATAAGAATTCAGTGAATGTGAATTTACCCACTTGAGGGCACTGAAAGTCATGTAATAACAATAACTGACATTTTACTTTTACTTTAGTTTTATATGTATTGTACTGTATTACTAACATTTTATTGCTGTCAACCAATGGAAATTATTTCTAAGGATGCAATAAATTCATTATTATATTATATTATTATATGTATGCTGTAATTTACTGCGTGAATTGTTATGTACAGCAATTTGCTTATTGACTTTATTTGTTTGCAGTCAATTGTCACTTGACATACAATGTTGGGACTGGAACAAATTAGTTGCAAGTTATATTTGTGTATATTGATTTGTTTCATCCATTGGCAAGGGACAAGGGAGAAACTCAACTGACCTTCTAGTAGCAGTGAACATTTTCATGGGTCACATCACACGTGTATTGGACCCCAGTAATCTTGGAATCTGTTCATAATCGCTACAACATTCATTGACGTACTTTGGTTGCTAGTCTCAAGATACGATGTCAGAGATATCAAGTACTGGTGACAATATGGAGAAAAGGTGCATGACAAAAGTCACAGAAAATGTTGGGAATGCATCACAGATCTCAATTATAGGTAACAGAACAAAAAATGCAACTGAGAAGAGAAAGGCATACTTTAAGGAGGTGAGGCAAAGAAAACGTAAAGAGCTATGTAAGCAGTTAAATGGAAAGACAAATCAAGTCTTACAATTAATGACAGATGAAGCAGACTTGAACTCACTGTGAAAGACCTAAACACACTGAATGGTGATATATGAGGACTTTTTAATTAGTCACGATGCATATCAACAAATGCTTTCCTTTGATGACCAACATGCAGATAACCAGAGTTGGTTTGAAAACCATAATGAGTCTTTCGGAGAATTTAAAGTGAAAGTGAAAGAGTGGATACAGAGAAGGAAACACAGTTTGGTGATGTCAACATAAAGCTACGGCAAAGGGTATGGAAGACCAGAAGAAAGCTGAATTGAGGCAATGTCAAAAGTTGTAGCAAGCCAAGCTGCAATTATAAGGGGCAGTTAGAATTATAAACTGAAATTGCTCTTTCAAGGACAACATCACACAGTGAACAACAAAATGTGGGCAAACCGATGTTTATTTAGGTTTAGATCAGGGTCATATGTTGAATTATGGGATGATAGGGTCTCCTGCACATGGTGGTGTGGCGATGATGTAGATTTGGGTGGTTTGCATGATACGCATGGTCAGCATTGCTTTGATGGTCACCGTGGCAATACTAGTTGCAGGTCCTCAGTCACAAGTAATAGATCGTTGGAGGAAGTTTTCCTGGTAGTGGTAAAGGAATTAAAGAAATCACAATCTGATATCAAAAAGTTTGGAGGTAACTGCATAGATTACAAGAAATTTGTCTGGCAATTAAAAGCAAGTATTGTAGCAATAACAGAGAGCAATGGAACGAAAATGAATGATTCAAAGCAATATACCGATTGATTGCCAATGCATTCGTAAGAAAGTCATGGAGTGGTCACTTATAAAAGTGGATGATCCTAGAGCATTGGATGAATTTTCGATCTTTATTTCTGAATGTGAGCATGCAAGACAAATTATCGTGGCAATGAAATGGAATACTCTGAGAATATGAAGACACTTGTTAGGAAGTTGCCACCTCACTTTCATGACAATAGAGAAATAGAGTACAGTACAGTAAAATATCTGTAAAGATGGCATATGAAAAAACCTGTGCCTACGACACACTAACCATGCTCTAGATAGGTTTGAGCGCTTCACAGGGGTGTCTAATGATGTTAAACTGAAATTTCTGAGTTATTTTGGATGTCTGAAGCCAGAGCATCAAAAGAGAGTTTGTCGTAACAAGTGTGCACTCAATGCCAGGGAGGTCAAGTAGCCAAACCACAAGTGCATGTGCAAGTGTTAACCAAAAACCAGGTAGTCATATGGGGGGCCGGCGACACTGAGTGCAACATGGCAATAAATCCTGTATTGGTTCAAGCAAAAAATGGTAATGTGGTTGTTGAAATATGCGTTTCTTGATCCTGAGAGTAGTGAGAACAGAAAACTTGATGAGAAAACTTAGAGTAACTTGTAGCAAGGCTACAATTACTATTGATACAATGGGTATATGAACACCACCATGAACACATATTGTTAAAGGCGTGTGTGTGTGTGATCATAAATGTGAAATTAGTCAAGCTTTCCATGGTATACACCAAGACAAAATGCCAGTTGCTCAACACCACATGCCACCAAAAATGACCTCGCATGCATTATATTGATCTTCCCCAGATAAATGCAGAAGTTGGCTTGTTTATTGGAAACAGTATACCAGATCCATATACACCAATGGAGATATTAATAACTTATCCACGTTTGAGTCCACATGCATGCATGCAATGGAATGGGTTGCATGGAATGTTGTTTGTGATGCAAATGGAGACAGAATGTGTAGCGTAAAACTCTATTACTGTCAACAGGGGAGAAGTGACTGGCATGGAGAGAATGGAAGAATTCAAAGAATTTGATCAGTTGGTAAGCAAGTCCATGAACCTTGACTTTCCAGAACGCAGTATTGATGATAGACGTAAATATTTCCAAGAATATATTTGTGGAGAAAGATTCAAAGTTTCACTCTGATTATAAGGCATTTATGTATGCTGTGTATGTTCCAGGGGCGATGTTAGACCTTTTACTGGAAGGTCCTGATTGAACAAATAACCTTATTGGTGTACTATTACGTTTCCGACAGGAACCAGTTGCGTTAGTAGCAGATGTGGATACCATGTTCCATCAAGTGAAAAGTCCCGTAAGGAACCTGCATTGTCTACGTTTTACTGGTGGCCGAATGACAATCTAAACCACCAACCAGAAGTATACAGAGTGACTGCCCATCTGTTAATCACTGCACAAGACAGCAGAGGACAACATTGATAGATTTAAACCAGAGGTAAGTGATGTACTGTTAAAATATTTGTTTATGTAGATGGCTTGTTTCACTGGGACAGAAGCAATATCTTTGGTGCAGAATCTTATGAATATTTGTCTGCTTGGTGGTTTCAAATCAATGAAGTGGATCAGTTATAGTCATACTTTATGGAAAAAAGGAGCCAAAGATTTAAAGCAGTTGAATTTAGGTTGTAATGATCTTCCAACACAGCAGGCACTTGATATATACTGGGAAGTTGAATCTGATTTACTATGATTCAGCATTGATATTCAGAAACGGCCTTCTACTCATAGAGGTATTTGTCTGTTATCAGTTCAATTTATGACTCACTTGGACTCACTGTATCATTTATCCTACCTGGCAAAATAATTCTACAAGACTTGTGCCACTGTAGAACAGGTTGCGATGACAAACTGTGGACATGTCAAAACTGGGTTTCAGATCTGCCACAGTTGAAATCAACATTCTTACAGAGGTTTTTCAAGCCTGCTGGGTTTGGCAGGGTGACTTAATTCCAAATCCACCATTTTCCAGATGCAAGTAAGAGAGATTATGGAACAGTTTTATATCTTATTTAGATCAAAAAAATCAGATTCTACCACTGCCTCCCCTCATTATATAGGGTCTAATCTGTCAATCATTACTGGTCACATTTTACTTGTTAATGTCAGTAAATCAATCTGCATATATTACATCACAACTATTTTCAATAGAGCAAATCAGAACACCAATCGACCAGTGTGAGAATGGGACATTTTGGTTTAGTTGACATTTAATGCAAATAATCATTTGAAACAACAAGTATATACTATGTAAAATCTTGGTGTCCCTATCGTACCAGACGATGGTCTTACAACTGGACTAACATTCTTGGGCATCGAACTAGACACAGTGGACATAGTTCTGCGATTACCAACTGACAAACTGTATGATATCACCCAGAAATTATAGTATGCACTAAACGTGAACTATTGTCTTTAATCAACACGCTTTGTTTTGCATGTAAAGTTTGGCGAATCTTTTTGAGACGTATGATCAACCTGGAATCTACAGCTGCCTCACTCCATCACAAGTTGAAGCTGTCAGCAGTTTTCCACCTAGATCTACAGTGGTGCAGAGATTTCCTACCAACATGAAATGGAACAGCTAGTTTTCTGCTATCGTCTTGGACTGCCACACCTGAAATGGATCTCTACACTGATGCGTCATCGACACTTGGTTGTGGTGGTTACTTCAATGGCGAATGGTTTTCCTCACCCTGGGAAAAAATCCTACCTACCAATAGTCCTGAACTCTCCATTGCATGGAAAGAGTTTCTCCCCATTTTGTCAGCCTGCTTAATTTAGGAGAATTCATGGTTTGGTAAACGTGTCCTGTTCCATTGCCATAATGAGAGTGTGGTACATATCTGAATAAGGGATCCACACATTGTCCATACATCATGGCTTTAGTACAGGCAATATTCTTTATGGCTGCAAAATCAAATTTCCATGTCATCGTCACCCATATCAGAGGTTTTAATAGCAATGTTACTGATGCTTTGTCTCGCCTACAGATCCAACGATTTTGTCAGATCACATCAGAAGCGGCAAAACAAAAACAACCAGTCAGCATACAAGAGTACACCAACTACATCCACAAGCTTGTGCTGTAGGCAACTTTGAATAACTAGCCAGACACTATGCATACCATTCCTTTGCCGAGTCAACTCGTTGGACATATGCTACAGGACAGACTCATCATACAAACTTTTGTTACTCTCATGGAATTCCCAGCTTACCTGTAACACAGTACTCCACAATGCTCTTCGTCACATACCTGTCATTCTCTCGTCTGTCCTACAACACCATCAAATTATATCTCACAGCCACAATGAAATTACTCATCGAGACAGATCACAAAGACTTGCCCAACTGAACTCATTTACACCGGACACACCAAGAAATAAAATGACAACACAGCGCACCAGTTCGTACTTGTCTCGCCGTCATCATTAGTCTTCTACAAACATTGAAAAATGTTATTCGCAGTCACTCCTACCAGTTGATCAACTCATGATGTGGTCAGCATTTACAATTGCATTCTTTGGTTTCCTCCGTGTGAGTAATTCACTGCTCAATCACCGACCAACTTCAACGAGGCTATATTTATTTATTTATTTATTTATTAACACACAACATCCCCCGGAGGGGATGAAAAGGGTTACAAATCAAATATTAGTAAAAGAAAAATAACTACATAAAAAGTAAGGGAACAAAAAAGCATTAAAAAAAAAAAGAAAGATAAATTTGTATACGAGGAATGTGTTACTGGCTTAGTTTTTGTAGGTGCTGCTGTCTTGTATTAAAACAGTTTTTTAAATATTGCGCTAAAGGAATTGAACCGAATGTAATGATATGAATTTATTTTCATTACTAAATTTGTCAAAATTTGGTATACATTTATTAGCTACAATGTAAAGTTTTGATCTTATTTCGTTGTAATGAGGACAATTTATGACAAAATGTTGTTCATCTTCAACATGGTCATTGTCGCACACATTGCAGACTCTGTCTTTAAAATACAAACCTATATGCCGGCCTGTTTCAATTTTCAGACAGTGGTTGCCAAGTCTAAATTTTGTTAAGGATTTGCGAAGTTCATTGTTTTTCATAATTGTTAAGTAGTTTTCTTGTTCAATTTTGGTTTTAAAAAGTTTGTAGTTCTTAGTTTATTTTTAGAATTTGATTTTTTCCTATTGTCATTATTTATTTCA